TAGTTCTTTAAAATCTCGTTATTATCAAATTCGATTTATCTCGAACAGTGATACTCGAGATACTTTTGTATTCATACATATAAAAAATTATAATAATGCATGTATTTTATTACTATTAAATATATTCCTTCGTAATCACCATTCCATTAGAAAATCATTTTATCTTTTTATTTTTAATAAGAGATGATTTGTAGTAATGTGTGGCAGAACATATAATTTCCTCGCAAATTTTGATATTATATTAAAAATGCAATAAAAATGTAATTAAGATGCTATCAAAATTATTTCTATCATAAGTGATCTGAAAGATTTGTAATTCACATCCTTCTGTAATAAGACCGCTGGTGTTTGACGGATTGCTTAACTTTTTTTTTGCGAATGGATCTTATAAATTTGACGTGGAATCAGAATACATCAAGTTCGCTTTTCTATGAAGATTTTTTTCTTCTTTGTATCGGATACTAACTTTATCACAACGTGGAGGGACCTTGATCAAATTATCGGGATAATTATATTAAATGCGATGAAAGTCTTGTCGTAAATGTATTAATGACTTTTTATCGATATTAATAAGTTTTATAATATAATCGCAAGTTAATAATTAATAGTAAGTACGATCTAATTGTTGTTAGTATTTTCATTCCACATTTATCAATATTTCATTAAACATTGGTTTAGAAAATTTGTGTTATCGTATGTATTTTCGACATTTTCGTATAATACCTCATTACTAAATTTTGTTATTTGTGCTCCTATAATATAATTCTTATTATATTTCGAACAACATTTTTTATTATACATTGTATTGTAAATAATTATTGTATTATTAAAGGATTACAATAAAAGATTATATTAAAAAACTATGCAATGTAATTGTTAATTATTTTATTGTATTTCACTAGTCATAATGCAATATATATGATTTTAGCGAAATATAATAAAATAATTAAAAAAAAAAGATATAAAATTAAAAAATAAATTTAAAATACTTGCCTGCAAAAACCGACTAAATTTGTTAGTAACTCGTTTTTTTACGGGGGAATATACTTACAAAGAAAAGAGGATCGCCATTAAAAATTGGCGGGAGTGGTGGAGGGCCTCTAAGGTTGATTCATTTATCTAATCCTAAAACTGACAGTCTGTTGGGTAGACTGAGACCGTATATCTCTTTCTCTCTCGCAGAATTTTGCTAAAATATAATGTCTCTCTCGTATGGCGCCACTCTGATTATAGGCTCTCTAGTGTAAACGAGGTCCCAACAATAATGTCCTTCTAGTCTGTTTTGACTTTTATTATAGTGACTGTAATTTGTGATTTGTATCAATTTTATTATTCGTAACGTCCTCTGATTAGCTTACATGATTCGAATTTCTGAAAATTCTTGACAGCGATTTCCTAATGCCTATTTTCAATGTTAATTGACTTCAATTTTAGTTTAATTTACTCTTCATCTTTTTCTAATTCCTACCCTAGTAAAAATTCTTAGAATTTTTCATATGATTTTTCAGAATTTCTATTTTTTATATGAATTTTTTTATATGAATTGGAATACTTCTAAGAAAATCTATAATACATCTTTTCTCAGAATTTTTCATATATGTTAATTATGAAATATCATAAGATTTCTAAGATTTTTTTATAAGTATAATTTTTGATGAAATATTATAAAATTTAAAAAATTAAAAAATATTTTTAAAAAATTATAGAATGAGAAATTTCAGAATATTTTAGAATTCACTTTATGAAAAATTCTGAAAGATGTAAACTTTCCGAATATCTCTGAGTATTTCTGAAAAATGTTATAATTCGTATAAAAATAAAAAAATTATAAGAAAAATTATTACAAGAGTAAGAATTAAAAATTAGAAAATCTTCTAATTCTTAGAGAGGAAGGGGGGGGGGGGGGAAGAGATATCTTTTTTCTAACAATTTTTAAAGCTGAAGAATAAATTAAAACCAGATTAAAGTTAATTTACGTTGATAGAAATGGAAATATTTCCTATATTATATTCCTTTCGAATTTTGGAAAAGGTATATCAGATCATTTATTACATATGTAAAGTTATAAGTTCTTATTTTATTTTACAAAATATGACATAAGATATATAATTTTATAAGTAAACATCAAGATGAAATCTATTTCTAATGATGGATGCTCAACGCATCGCTTTGCACTTCATGACTTAATTGTGTCTGCAGATTCGATAATTTATTTTTTAACGCTGCAATCCCCATCATGACGATGTTTTCGGGTTTCAAGGCTCCGCTGCTCTCCACATTGAAGTAATATTTGTTCGGTTTAGCTTCCCAATTAAATGAGGCTTCATCTAAAATATATACATTACAATAAGGCCCCTATTTTATAACTTTTAATGACAGTGATGGTATCATATTACAAAACTTTTTATAAATACCTATGCAACAATGTAAAATTTCTAACACATTTATTTAATGCATATATGTAGTATATATAAATTTATTAATTCTACTATTCCCTCCCTTCTATATTGAATAATTAATTAAATTTGTTACATGATTTATAAATAATCCCTTTCCCGTAAATAAATAGAAAAAAAGATAAAGCTGCCGTTAAGAGTTATAGAATAGGAATACTTAAAATAACTACAAAAAATTTTGGATTTTTATTAGAAATATACTCACATTGATCCTCTTCTAATTCACTATATTCTGATTTGGGCCATTCGTCCGCTTTAGGAAATAAAGTATGTCTCATAGTATTATCAGGATCATACTCGAAGCTTACACCAGCGGTCGGATTCCACTTTGCATGTTCCTTTCCAAAACCTTTCTTTGCATATGCCCTAAGTTTTAATTCCTGTCCTTTTCTTAATTTTACTATCAAAATTTCTGGAATATCCCAAATACAATATCATTGTGATTCCTTTTTTATTATGATAATCATAAGTGTTATATAAAAAAAAGAGAATACATACCATCTGTTTCTCCATATTCGCTTGCATCGTCTTCTCTGTGTCTGGATGTGACAGGTAGCACTCTAGGATCACTTGACTTGAAATCTGCAGTAGTTACATGCCTAGTTTGTTCTTCAGTACATTTAACATCTAGAGTGAATTCCACACTACATTCTGGACAGAAATCCATGCACTGGCAGTCTCTTGTATACTGTATTCTATCGACTACCTATAAACAAGAAAAGTTTCCTCTATACTCTATAGTATTATATCAAATAAATAATTTAAAGTCTCTCATCAGCTTTTGCTTAAATTAATCAACAATCAATTCACAGAAGTGCCAACAGCAATTTAATATATCAGAACGTCTCTTCTCTTTCTTTCTCTTTTAAGACAAACTATGTTTAATTTCACATTGACAATCGGGATCTGTGATTGAATCAATCACAGATTAGCATTAATCAGAATTAGTGAGACTAGCCCTTAGTGTATCTTATGACATGATAACTAAGATTTTGTTATTTATTCATATTAATAATGCATAATTTACCAAAACTTTCTTTTATCTTTTCACTATTAAATTTAATCGTTAAAATATAAGATAACTATACGAGTATAGTTTAATGATTAAATTTAGTCATTAAAATATAACATGCATTTTCATATTTTCGTTGAAAAAAATCTTCAATTCAATTTTTTATAAAGAATTGCTACACACACACACACACACACACACACACACGCACACACATACATACATACATACATACATACATCATCACTGATCAATGGTATCATCCCAATCCTATGTGCCAAGAATTCGTCACTCAAAACAGTAGAATTGGCTTCCAGTTGTATCCAATCAATAGCCATAGTCGGAGTTTCGGCGATAAAGACACGCCTCATGCTATTCGCAACGCTGATAAGGAAATATTAATTGTAAATTAAATTGCAATTATATACATACTTTGATTCTTCTATGTAATCTAACCTGTCTTACCTCAATTCGGTATCTTCTACTTGAAATTTCACATTTTCTTCAGTTAAGTCCGAAATATGGACCGATGGTTGATTAGCGTACGGCATTTTATTTTGTCAAACTTTATATAATTATCGTTTTTCCGTTTATTTACGTTTCGTTTATTTATAAAAAACACGATAGCGAACTAGTAACAGTCTGCACTAATTGCCATTTCAAGTCTGTGTTGGTCTGCACCAGTGGCAGTTATTTCACCTATTGATTGGCTGCAAGAAAGAGAAGTTGTCGGATCTTTCTATCCTATAGCCAATCAATAAACTTAAAATCTCAGTTGAATATGAGAAAAATAATTATGATTGGTCAATTTTCTACAAGTTTACTCTACGACTTCTATTGTAAAACCTATATAAAGCCAGTGGCACACGATGCTTGTTTTCCTGCTGGATTGCTAAGTGGATTACAATCTTGTAACTATATTGGCTGCGATGCTGTCTGGTCCGCTTGCAGACAGTTACTAGCATAAAGAGGGCATAAAAAAGTACATACTACAATGAATCCGTGTATATTTGCGCATGCCTGTGTCCATCTATACTCTCTTCATGCTAATAACCGTGCTGCAAACGGTTCGGAATTCGCATCACTTTGTAATACAGTTGCAAGTTGCAAGGTTCTAATCCAGTTAGCAATCCAACAGGAAGATAAGCATCGTGTACTGCAGGTTTAAGTTTTTAATTTTTTTTTCGATATCAAGTCTATATTTATTTATATCGATAATTAGAATAATTCCCTCTATCTAAAATCTTAATAAAAATATACTCATTCGATGTGTTTTCACTCAAAATGAAAAATCTGACAAAAAAACGTGGCGGTCGGCCTCGTGTATTGAGTTATTAAGCGCTAAAATCGGAGACTTTAGAGGTTAAGATATTTATCCTCCTGATTCGATACAGCGCTGTGTATATGTTCTGATTTTGTACATCTTCTAATTTTACATCTACTTTAATCCTGTAAAAAGAGTTTTTGATTCCATTCAGTCAATTCGGAATCATTTCAATTGATCTGTAATGTGTCAATAATTTCATCACTCTAGTACTTCTTTAAGTAATGTCTATATTATTGTCTATTGCAGAAATCATGCCAGTGTGTATAAAACATTGTACTAGTCGTACGTCACATAGTAAGACAAAAAATGTGAAATTTTTTCGATTTCCAAAAGAAGCAATTAGTCGTCAGCAATGGCTCAAAGTCAGTCAAAGAACGAAATTAAATATCAAAGTTGATACGGGTAAAATTGATATAATTTAATACATTCTTTTAGTTTACATATACATATTATATGCTGGAGATATAAAGAATTTTTTAATTTTAATTAAGAGTATATTAAGATTAAAAGCATATTAGAATACAAACCTTGAGGATCAATTTTGTTTTTTTAATTGTTTGTTGAGTAGAATATATTATGAATGTATACATATGTTAACTATATATATTAAAAGAAATATATTATAATTATAGCAATATGTAGTAATCATTTTGATACTGATTGTTTCGCAATGGTATGGACAAAACCAAGATTGAAAAATATACTACCAGCCAGAAAAGTGCAACGATTAAAAAAAGGTTGTATTCCAACAAAAATGTTAATATTAAAAAAGAAGAGGAAAATACCAGAGAGTAAAGAAAATATAAAGAGGAAAGAAAAAAATGTACCGTAAGTACGTTTTCTATATTTATAAATATATTGCAATTTTTATGCTGGAAATAAAACATTTCATATTTTTAAAAATAAGAACTGGAATATCAACATACGCAAAAGTTCCTGGATACCCATATGTATACAAGATAAATACAAGATATAAACAAGAGAAGCATCATTTGCAGTCACATAAAGAAATTGTGCAACATGTGAAAGCAGAAACTGCAAAAAATGTACAAAATACTAATCTTGTAAATATTAATAATATTAAAAAAGTTAATAACTTTTTTATAGAAGAAATTTTACAACATAAGGATTTGATAAATGACACAACAAATGTAGAGATGTATGTAGTAAATGTTTGCCCACAACATATCATTTATTTAAGCTTCCCACTATTATGTTATTTATATATATACGTTTTCTTTTATAGACTTGAAGAAGTTAATAATCATGATGTTTCAATAAAAAATGGATCAATGAAAAGGAAGGCCGGATTATTATTAAGGAAGGCATTAGAAAAATTAGAAGAAGAAAGGCTAAACAAAATATTGGAACGAAATAAAAAAATGAATATGCAAATTAAAGAGATATATGCACGAGCGACACAGACATTACAAGAATTCAAAATGTCATGTTCAATGGACAGGAAGAAGCAAGCCAACACAATACCTATCTATAAAAGGAAAATATTGACACCAGGCCAAATTGCAAAGTTGTCGACTAAGCGTCGCATAGAATGGTCATACGAAGATGAGGTAGACTATGCAATATATCTAAACTCATTAAGCCCTAAAGTTTACAAATACTTGACAAAAAAGAAAATGCCATTACCGTCTGTAAACACTTTGCAAAATTGGATTGAAAACATTAATTTAAAAAATTAATGATGCATCACATCAGAAAGCATTATCATAAACATAAATATTTCATAGATTGTTCTATTATTACGTCTGAGTATGTGTATAAAATTTAAGTATAATTATCTCTTATTTTAAAAGTTTAAAAGATTTAAGCGTGTGTGACTTATTAATAAAAATTTGTTCTAATGACTAAATAAATTGATAAAATCAATTATAAATAAATTGATGAAACAGATAAAGGCTAATAGGGAGATAGAAAAAAATATTGATAAATATACTGCTCAAAATGATTAATGGAACATTTTTTTCTAATGAATTTATACGTGATTTAATAAATTTAGTAGATTTTGAATATTTCTCTCAATCAATTTTATGATTTTAATGTTTAATAAACGTGTTATTACATGTATTAAACATAGTATTTTATTTAATCTTTTATTTTTCTTAATTTTTATGTAAAAATCACGTTTTGTAATACTTATTTGTAAATTTTATGACAAAGTAGTATCATCAAAATTTTACATACATGTACTAATAAAATTCTAATAACTATTTGTGCAAACATTTATTTGGACCTACTTGTTTAAATTATTTACCTAACATTGCTGCAGAATATGGTAAATGCGCCGCATAAATCTTTAAAAATCAAATAATTTGTTCTTTATTAATTGATTTCAGGACATTATGACAAAATTTCTTGATACTTTTTTAGTTGATATTTTTAGCTGATATTGTATACAGCCACAACATTCTTAATTGTAATATGTACAATAATTATTTTTTTAATATAAATTAATAAAATTTTCTTTATATACAAACTACAAATATTTAAAATAAACTCGAAAGTGCATAATTTCATATCTGAAGACATTCCATAGTGTATTGAAATTTTTTAGGAAGTAAAAATAATGTATGAAATTGTTAAAATATTTTATTACAAATCAATGAATATATTATTTGTCGAAGATGTGTTTTATATGGATAATGTACACACTCGTTTAATATTATCTACAAAAATCCATAATTTGTCGTAAAATTAAAAAAATTGCTTTACATACAATATGTAACATACACACACAAGCACACACGTATGTATGTATATATGTATATATATATATATATATATATATATATATATATATATATATATATATATATATATATATATATATATATATATATATATATACACACACACACACACACACACATATATTTGTGTGTATATGCACTACTATGTACAGTGTAATAATATTGATGGAATTGAAACTTAATGGTGCACTATATGTAATTACAGAAATATGAGACTTTTTGTTGCCTCAATATATTTTTCTTCGCATTCCCTATTATGGCACTCAAGTTTGGTAAAAAGTGGAAGACGATAGTTTGTGTAGCGTTATACTACGAATCGTCGTAAATTTACAAGATGTGCAAATTTCATTAAGCGTGTGTGACTTATTATCAATAAAAATTTGTTCTAATGACTGCATAAATAAATTGATGAAACAGATAAAGGCTAACAGGGAGATAGAAAAAAATATTGATAAATATACTGCTCAAAATGAGTAATGGAACATTTTTTTCTAATGAAAAAAATGATTACATGATTTAGTAAATTTAGTAGATTTTGAATATTTCTCTCCATCAATTTTATGATTTTAATGTTTAATAAACGTGTTACTAGATGTATTAAACATAATATTTTTATATTTTTGAACACTGACGTTTAGATTTATATATAGAATTTTTTAAGAAAATAGTCTTGTGCTATTGTCTCTTGAGCAGTATATTAAAAATATTTTCAATTATACACATCATACTGATATGAGTATTACGAAAGATAACACAGTATTTTTAAAAATATTAGTTCAACTAATTGTTGATTCTCAAAGTTCATCATTAAAACGATCAATTTCTTGCAAATGATCACCATAGTCTGTCGCTTCGCTACCTACAAAAGCATCATGATGATCCAAGATCTCATCAAAGGATAATCTATTATCGTGATCGTCATCTGAACCCACAAACAGATGATCCACTTCATCATTTGCTATTTCTCTGAAACAAGCATTAACAAAAAGATATAAAAAAGTGATACCACGTATATCAGTAAAATAAAATTTGCAATACAAAAATTGCTTAAATTTTTTAAGAAGAACATTTAGAAATTCAATAAAACTAGTTAATTATTAAATAATATCATGATATAAAATTGTGTTACAATATTGCAATTTGTCACATTAAAATATATAATTGTCATTATAAATTTAGATATGCATAAATATACACAAAGAGAAAGAAATGTTTATCATTATAGATATAAGAGAAAAATTATATCGTAAATTAGATTTATATAATCATTTGAGATTATCGTTATTGACATAATGAAATTTTAATAAAATGTTTTAATAAAATTTCAATTAAGATGCATGTTCGATAAAGATGCATGTTCAATAAAGATTTTCATGTAATGAAATTTTATAACATCACATATTACAGTATACTCACTCATTTTATAACATCACATATTACAGTATACTCACTCATTGCTTGGTACAAGCCAAGAAAGAATTTCATCCGAATCAAGTCTACCGTCCCCATCTTTGTCATGTTCATAGTCAAATTTGTCTTTTTCAGTTAACAACCATTCCTTATCTTTTGATTTGGCTCTGTCACCAATAAATTCCTGGAAATTAATGTATCCATCTCCATCTGTATCTTTGTCAGCCAAGGCTTGCTTCAACAAAAGTGGAAACATTCTAGGTGTCTCTTCAGGATGTGTATAAGCCTTGAATTCCTCTGTATCTAAATAACCATCTTTGTTTAAATCTGCAGCCTCGAATGTCTGCTTGTCATCTTGGATTAATTTATCATCAAGAGCTAGGTCTTCAGGATCGTTGCCATAAGTATCTTGTAAAATTTCTTCCCAAGTCACTTTACCATCTTCATTCGTATCAGCATCGTCTAAGCGATCTTCAGATTCTTCTGCAGACAGTGTGCTGTTTATAAAACAATTTAATTAACCTAAATTCTTTAAGTCTTTGAACAGATAAACATGATATTCAATAAGTTGATATTACCTAAACGAACGCAAGATCCAAGCTTTCAATTCATTTCTCTCTATATATTTATCATTATTCAGATCCATTTTGGTCAGTAAAATTCCTAATCTTCTTTTTGATTCTTGTATTGGAAGTCTATCGAATTCTTCTGCTTCTTTTACACTCCCTATATACAGGAAATAAAATATTCAAGATGATTTAGGTATCTACCTAAACAAATTAGATGACAATAAAAACGTTTCTTTTATTTTTCTTTGTTGACAAAATATCTAATTTTCATGAAAGGAGCTTTCAGTCTTCAACAAGATAAAACGGTACATGGAAGATATGAAAAAAAAAAAATTACAATTATTATTCATAAATACAAAACCGAAGCAAGTATAAAAGATTCACGTCAAAGGAGCTTCAAATGTTCGTCTTGAAAATCTAGTAAGTCCAATCATCTCGTTCATACCTAGGATGGCTTCATGGTCAAACTCTTCGTGGTGTTCGCCCTCCGCATAGTGATCGGCGTCGCGAGGGCTGAAGGCACCGTCCTCCGTCCTTTCATTGTTGTCGGCTTTGTTATGTTGATGCGTGTGGATGTGCGCTGAGGCGGTGTCGCCCAAGGTTGGCAGCGATGCAGCAAGAGCGACGACGAAGAGCAGAAGAGCAAGTAATCGGCCGGCCATCGCGTGTCTTCTAGTGGAGCGACAGAACGATTGAAAATAACGCGCCTACAATGTTTATAAGCAACGTGAACGCATAACCTTGTCACGTCACGTCAGTGTGATCTTCAATAGGCGCCGCACGGCGCTTTGCCGGTCGAGTGTCGACTGACGTTCGTCGTTCACTGACGTTCGGTCAGTTCGGTGACTATCACGGATATTATCGATTACTTTCCATTACGTATGACGCGGTGATCGCATGAGGAAATTTTTATTGTGTCAGTTAATTGTGTCCTGAGGATCATTTTATTAAAGCGATAATACTGGAAAATGTAAATATATATACATAATAATGCCTATATATATATTATTTAATATAAAATATTAAATAATATTACGCGCCTATATTAGGGATGTTGTCCGAGAAACATGTTTGCGATAGTTAAAAAGTTGAAAAAGATTTAAAAAATATTAAATATATATATATGAAATATAGGTACAAAATCGATGTCATGCAACTTATTTCCAATCGGAATCTATTTCGATTTATTTTATCATAATAAGTGTTTATTATTTTAATAATTGTTACTACAAAGTAGATGATTAATTGACTATTATTAATTAATTATCTATATGTGTCTTCTTAATTTACAGAGAGAGAGTAAATAATTAAGTAACTCTATAATTATAATCAGACAACACGTCATAAAAAAGCACCAAGGAAACATTGCCATTGTATAATAACGAATAAAATAAAAAAAAAGAATTTAATAGATAAATTTTAAAAGATATATATAAGTTAATGCTTTTGTACTTTTGAATGTGGCGCCACTTCTGCGCGACAATCGATCGACTCTCGAGTGCCCTGAATATATTCCTTATCGCGCGAAGTTGTTCTCGCCGATCGCTCTGACGTTGTCAACTTTCGCAGTTTTGAATTTTCACAACTTACGCAAAACGGTTTCCGTAATGGCGTCGCGTGCTGACCCGAATCGCGGAGCTGCGTAAAAAGTTCTCGCTTCTTTTCGCGTTGAGTCCTCACCGACGATCGCCGCGTGTCGTTTCGAATTGTATATGTGAGTCAGCTTCCGTGTTAGTCAAACTCGCGTCGCGTACTGACTCGAGTGGACGCGTTTTGTGTATCAAAATGTCGCGTGCCGGCAACAAAAAGGAAGTGATCTCGCGCCGGACGGTTACTTCTTCAGTCGTGATGCGTATGCGAAGTCACGATCCTGCCATCCGGGGGATGAGGCTCATGCCGAGCGGCCGTTCGAAAATAGTCAAGCCGGCTATCGACGTCGCGTATCATTGCATCTATTTTCGACTCCATGCGAGTCGCGCGCGCGCGCGCGCGCGCGCGGCGAACCAACTGA